CATTTCTGATCATGCTCAACTTTGATTAAAGAGCACATGAAATTGGCATCTTCCTACAAAAGGTTTGTTTGCATAAATCAGTGTTTTTCTTGCAGTGTGGTTCAGGTAAATACTCATACACAAGGGCATGTTAGTGACTGTCAAAATTGGAAGAAAGTAAAGACAACTGTGGGCTACTTTGTTCTTTTTGTTTTCTGGAATCTAGAAATAGAACTGCAGTAAATAAACCAGGTGGTGATGCTGCCCTAGCACAGCACTTCTGTCTTAGTGGCCTACCCGAAAACACAGTAAAAAACAGATAAAGGATTAGTAACACCTACTTGTTGGTGTTGCAACTTACTTTGCCTAAGGTGATCAGTCTTATGCTTCTGGAATACCATTTTGTCACTTGATGGCTTTTTGACCCAGATGGTTTCTCAGCCTCACTGGCACAGTAAAGTTTAACCGATCCTGTTTTGCAATGTGCCCTGACACCTTTGAAAAAGGTCAGGCACAAGACCTGTCTGCTTACCATGAAAACCATTTCTGCCATGTTTAGAGGACTTCACATGTTTAGCAAAGTAACACTTTATCCAGGAATTTTAATAATAGTTGACAGCTTGGTATCAGAATATTTCTATGACAAGGTAACCGGCTTTGTTGGGATCAAAAGGTTAAAGAAAAGTGCATGCTGAATCTTTGCTGACTAGGCTGCAACTAGCTCAGCAAAGGATTTTAGGAAGAGGCATCTCCCTTGCCATTCTTCAGTCATCAACAAATGATGTCATTCTTCTCATAGTTATTTTGGAAACTTTATACAGCAATTAGGCTGTAAACAGCTTAACTTGAAACAGGAATAGTGGTGTACAAGTACTTTATCTTGATAGGCTTTTAAGGAAATAATAATCTGTACAGAAGAGCCATATTCCCCTACACCTTTTACTCTCACTGTATGCCATTGTAACAGAGAGACTGTGAGAATAGGTTAAGATACATTATTTTCCTGTGCAGACTGGCTTCCAAATCAAGTAACCTTTTTCGAAATTTACAAACACACTAATAATGTCAACATTATCCCCTTATTCTTAACAACTGTTTTAAAATCTTTGTATAACATGACTTGAAACCAAAGGATAAAACAAGTCACAGTTTGACAGAAACTCACACACCTTCCTGCATGAACTTCATCTTGCAGTATCATTTTGTGTCGACAACTCCAGTACAAAGTTATCAGTCATCTTGACCTACCTCAAGTATCCTGGCTCAAAAAATACTTTTATCTTGAAGACTCAGTCTACTTGTAAATGATTTTTGTCTAGTTGAATGGACCATCAATGCTTTCTCATTTTCTTCCACATCTGACAATTCCGTGGCACTCCAACTGTCCTATGCTTTCTCTGTATAAACTCTAAATCAATAAATCAACCATCTTATTGTTTCTATGCAAAAGACAGAAAACAAGGCAACTGAAAGGAAATTCCTATTGCTGTGGACTTTTTTACTGACTGTGGCATCTACGGATTTCTTTGATCAGCAGTAAACCAAGGCAGATGTGATGAAAAGTGCATGAAACCGATGTTTAGAAATAACAAAAATAGAATCCTCTCCTGGATGAATCAGGACGCATTGCTAAAGCTCAGGCAGAAGGTACCGCTTCATAGCACACTTACTCTTCTGAAAGAGAAGGGAAGGCTCAGGCAGGAGGACAAAGAATGCCTGTATGCCTGAAAGAACAGTAAGAAAAACATATCTCTTTGAATAAGTGAAAGCATAAAACGGCTTGACTACTCACATTGAAACAAACAGCTTTTGCTTTTGACTCTTGTGGTGGTTTGGCCCTGGCCAGAGGCCAGGCACTCACCAAAGCCGCTCTGCATTTGCTGCTTCATATCACACTGCTAATCACAATTTTGTCATTAGTCCCATTCTCTTACACATCTGCCATTGATGTATAAGAGGTCAGGAAACCATGGCATGGCCTCAGGACGCATTTGCACTTCCACGGCGGTACCTTTGATGTTCTTGTTGTAAATACTTTATTTGATTTGCTGTCATAGCTAGTGTACATGTTAATTTGTGTACAATAAATACAATTTTGGGGGAGAAAACCTATATAATTAGCACATCAAACACAGCATCCTTCTGATATCAATGCCCACTGACTTCTCCATAAATTCTCTTTCATATCTTATATGAGTCATGAATTAACCACAGGACTAGAAAACTTAACACCATCCAAAGTTCATAAATCCTAACAATACAAAACATTTATTTTTTTAAAATATTGTCACTGATCTATCTGAATCCAATCGGTTTGTGTGTGTGTACTGAACACATAATTCTGACAGCCCTCGACCAACAGGCAGTGTTACTCGTGCTTACAAGTCTGCAACTACCAGAGTCAAAGGATGAAGGAAAACTTTGTTTTCCTCACCAAATGGAGAGACTGCCTTCCTCCCATTCAGATTCTGTGCTCTAAATACGGTGTTCTGCAGCTACAGAAGTCAACTCATCCAGGCTGTCACCAAAATTGATCATTTTGCCTGTGTCTGTATCCTGTTTTCCCACACAGTGGTGCCACAAGCAACTGCACAGCTGTTTGGGAAACACACTACTTGGGTAATATGACCTCGGAAAAACTAGCATGAGGGTGGGATTGCTTGGCTGTTGGGGCTTTTCAGCGGTTGCTTTCATCTAGGTCAGTTGGCTCATCTGACTAGCATTTTGCCACGTGACCACTGGTGCTGATGGAAAAGGGGTGCAAGGGTGTGGGGCCAGGCTTAAAGTACACTGTAAAACCTCACGCCAAAATCTGTTTAAGCCAATTATAAAAGCGTACCTTTAATTTCTGCCACCCTTATGAATTGTAAAAGCATACCTGTAACCTCTGCCACCCTCACTAGGCTGGCCTGCTTAGGTTTCCCAGAAGGTAAGTCTAGTTTGCCCCTATCACAAGGAACATCGTATTGAGGTTTAGAAGTGCTACCATGGGTAGAAGAATTGGGTGTATTAAAAGGTTATTCTGTGATTTTTTTCATTTTTTTTTAAGAGGGGCTAGGTTTATTTCCCTTCAAATTAAGATTCTGTCTGGAAAGCAGAATTTCGTCTTCAAAAGTGAAAATGCTCCAAAGTTCTGATTCTGAAATAAAAAGGCACTCTTTGGGGAGAAGTTAAACAGGAACATACCAAGCTACTCTTGGGCTGAATTATGTTCTTTCTATAGATGAGTTCAGCTCTTTGCTCACCAATACATGGATGGTTTTTGAGACATAATCAGAAGGACTCAAGATTAGAATTCCTTTTTTTTTTTCCTCATTCACTGACAAACTTACTCCTGGGCTAAGTGAAGACATTTGTTGCTTCTTCCTTTTTAAGGGACAGAAGTGGGTATTTTGAGGAATAAGGTGGTTAAGGTTTGGCATTTGTGTGTATATACAAACCAATGAGGCACCAAGAAACCAGGCAATGGAAGAAGGGAACATGTGGGATGAGGAGAAGCTAACAGGTGAAGAAGGGCCAAGACCAGAATTGAAAACTCATAATGGATGAAATTCTGTAGGTTTTCACCGGTTTCAAACATAGCATTCATAAGAACTAACAAAAAGCATCATGAAATAGCAGCCTCCAGTTCCGAGAAAAAGCTGCCTAACTGTTACTCAGCAAAATGTGCACCCTGCAGACTATTTCTGTCTCCTGAAAGACCAGTTCAGTTACCTTTTACTCCTTCTGACTCCTAGCTCTCCAAAATAAACTGAGCACGCAGTGTTGGCTGCAAGAATTAGTGCTGGGAAGCTTTTGATTCTGGTAACCTACATTTCTCCCAGATAAAGCCCAACTGATGCAGACCTACTCATACTGCCATATAAATTGCTCTATGTTTTCAGAGAGCTGCCCACTATATGTAAAGTAATACTAGTCTTGACTTTTTACTTTAAAGAAGAGTTTGGACATGTTGCATTGAGTATTACAGTGCTCGCCACGTGACAGTTTGATTTTTTTAAACTTACAAACAAACACACACTATCTACACTGAAAAAAAACCCCAAACCAGACTTCTATCGACCACTTATCTTGCAGGAAACAGACAGGCAGTCACAGTATTTATACCACCATGGTCACTTTGGGTTTAGGGTTTTTTAGTTCAGCTTCAACACCTCCCAACCAACAGAAGTCAATTTTTCCCTTTTAACACCCTTTACCTGTTCACTGTTTAGAGAAAATGAGTAGACAGTTAACAACTGCTTATATTTACAGTATTGGTCATTTCAGGGAATCCTCCCTAGGCTCAGGAGTCAAATCGAAGCAGAGGAAAAATATATCTTTAGAACTGAGTGAGAAATGAGAGAAAAGGAAGGACAGGAAGGAAAAGGCAAGGTAAAGGCAAAAACTTGTATTCCCATCACCTGATTTTAGATAGAAGTTAAGAATTTGATCTCGATGAATCAACCAGGCTCCCTTCATAATCAAATAACAGAGAGCATCTTAATGCTACTAAGTGATTTCTCTCTACTTGGATGCCTATGGCAGGAATCACAACCAAACGGGCATTACTGACATTGCTCTATAGGTCTAAGAGATAGTTCCTTGAAAACTGACTTAGATTAGATGTTCTGTTTCCATACAGCTACCATTATGCAAGCTAAACCATGTTCTCCGCTGAGATGCACAGTTAGGAGCAAAGTTGTTTCAGATTTCACTTATAGTTGTGCAAATGAGCAAGTGAGAGAGACAAGACACACATCTCCAGGCGTCAACTCAGCTCCCTTAATATCTCAGAATTTCATGACCTTCCTAACCGAAAAGAGTGCAACAAGCTTCTGCGTGGCATGGATATAAAGAAATCAAAAAGATTAATGTAACAGAGAATACTACTCCACGCTTTAAGGAAGTTATTTTTGAGCTAGAAAAAGATGGATGATCCTATCATCTTGAAAGAAATTTCCTATGTTTTCACATTCCAAGTTGAAAACACTTTGTCTATTAGTTATTCCCTTTGTATTAATTCAAACATGCACACCTACCTTTATGGTAACGTTTCCTTTTGTTATTTTTCTCATATTGAAGCCTACTGTAGGAATCATATCTTCTGTGAACTGCCCCGACTAGAATCCAAAAAAAAATATTATTATTATTATAAAATAATTGACACACAGCAGATAAGTTTCTCATTCACAATCTAAAATTTTATTTACAACACTGTAAAATACCACATTAATTTTCTGCACAAGCACTGTACAGCACTTCAATTAATGCATTGTTACTAAAAGGAAGACTGCTCATTTCAGTCCTTTTAAACTGATCTTCTATTGTCCTCAGCAACAAAGATCACCCCAGAAATCACGAGACTTTGGATAATTCCTTATCTGATCCTTCAGCAAACCAGAGAGCAGCATGTCAAAATACAGAATCATAGAACTGACTTGGGTTGAAAGGAACCTTTGAAAGTCATCTAGGTCAAGCCCCAATATAACCAAACTGACTATACCAGGTTTTTTCCCTGTAGTTTCTCAGAGTACTGCTACCAATGCTTTAACTCATAATAAAATGTGAAGGAGTATTCATGTAGAAAGCACTATGCGCAGACCCCTTTCCTTCAGAGTAGGTGACAGCTGAAGAGTCTCACTGCGCAAGCTAAGAGAATACCATTAAGACAGAAAAATACAAGGTATTAACTCAGCACACTATAAACCCAAAACATAAAATCTAAGGGCTGCCTCCTCCCTCAGTTCAGAGAAATACTTTTACAAGATGGGCAATTGTCATCACGCCAACTAGAACCTTACACACATCTATCCCACTACAGAAGACAGATTTTGAGGTGAAAGGTGAAACTCAAGTCTAAGTAGATAACTCATTATACATTCTTCCTTTTCAAAATGTCTCATTAATGGGGTGTTGTGTCTCATAGGCAGTGATGCATTAAGATGGCTACTTAACAGTTACATGTACACGGAGGCCCAGGCTCTCTCTGCAACACACACAGCAGTCCTGGTTTTCCAGTCATCCAGACAGGAGAGCACGACGTTCTGGACCTGCCACTGCCCTTCCACATCTATTTGTCCATATTCTTTCGCCCACTTTATCATCTCATGTACCCTTTTTTTTGCGGTGAAGGCAATATGGGTATGTGGACAAGGAGGGAAGCAAGCACGCTCCAGCAGGTCCTTCCCATCTGAGAAGTGCTCAGAGCTTCAGGGTGCACTGGAGGAGCCAAGGGCCTCCCAAGGCACTGGCACCAGCCACCACGAGTGCTGCTGCCCGTCTCTGGATGCTTCCCACAACTCAACTCTTCGCTGTTTGTGGCAGAACGAGAACACGCTACACTTCCAGTTTGTGTTCACAACCTAAGATTAACTGCTTTTAATCTGGGGCTTTTTTTAAAACTATATAACCTTTGACAGTTACCTGATCCTCTCGCAAGATTTTGGGGTTTGGAATTAGACTCTTCAGGCAAGCAGCAACTTCCATCAATTACTTGCTCAATCTTACCTACATGAACTTTCTTGTTAAATTCTGTGCTACACAGCTTCACTATCTTCTGTTTCCGAAAATGTCTTTTTTTTTCTCCTCTCTTCTTGCTCCAGTGACTTGTCAACCACAGCAGGAAAAAACAGTGAAGACAAATGCACCTGCAGTATCATACAGATACATGTACCCAGCAGTGACAGAATTTTTAATTGGATGGCGTAAGACAAAGCCAATCAGTAACCGTCTCCTGTAGCCGGTACTGGCCTAATTGCTTAAAATATGTAGTAGTTTTATTTGTGGAGGACAGACAGATAAACACATAAGAACATGTAAACCTGAGAATGCAGCATCATTACTCAAGCACAGATGTGCCTGAAAATACAGGCAGTCGACTCAGGAGGCTATTTTTTAAATAAACTCAGAGAAAGCCAGGATTTCACTTCTGTCAGCAAATCACATGCCATATGTAAAATGCTAAACTGGAAGACAGAAATAAATAAAAAACCCCACATCATAATTGCTCTGGTATTGGGGATAGAATTGAAAGAACTAGTGTCCCCTTTACTGGTCTTTAGTCTTTTCCTCTAAAAATTTTCCATTCTGGTTGAATGGAACTAGCTACAAAGACAGTACTATGTTTACAGTTCTTTATTTTTCCCACACAATGAAGAAAAGAAATAAGTTGAATCTTTTTCCCGCATTAGTCCAAATGCTCTGATCACTGTGTTTTCTTTCAAGTGCTGTAAGCACCATAAAAAAAAAAAAAATCTGTTCCATTCTGCTTGCTAAGAAGTTCTACAAGATAAATTACCTATTTTTGTGAATATTCAAGATGCGCAAACAAGTTTACTGTCGTATTTCAGTAAAAAAGAGATTACATCCTGACATGGATGAAAATAGCTGATGTTAAGAAGTTTTGAAATGTCCTCTTTAAACGTTGCTGAATATTGAGCTGACAGTGAATACTGTTATTACGCCCTGCCATATCAACAATCATGGCCAGATTCTACTCCAGTACATCGGTGCACATCCTTAGTATAAGACAGTGACATTATCCAAGGTTTCCACTGGTAACACAGAACTAAGTATGGCTCATCTCTTCAGGGAGAAGACTGCCTTGAAGGGTGTTTATTCAGTGGTAGCACGATAGGATACCTTGTAGAATGTTCTTAATCAACATATTTGCTGGCAAAAAGCAGACCTGCAGTAACAGCAGAGCTCTGGTGTTCAACATATTAGTACGAGAGAAACACACACATATGATGCCTTTCCACTGGTGGTATAATAAAAGTGAGTGGACAAACACACGCCCAAAGTCTAAGACCACACACTACTGTTACTGAGGTCTCTGAACTGCTGTGTTCTTCTTTGCTCTGTTCACAAAACCAATCCAAGAAGCAAGAGAGTTTGTCACACCTCCTCTCCCTTCCTCCACAAAGCCTGCCCTTTGCTGATGAACAGCTCCAACAGGCACGACGAACGCTGAGGCCCGTGTTACCAAGACCACCTGAGTGCCCAACAAAGTAACCACAATTACAGTGCCCGATATTTTCTGTGTATTGATTGCCGATGCTCCCCAAAACAAACTTTCACTGTGCACTTTCTGCGCCTCACTCCTTTTTCTCGTGCTTTCTCTTTATTTTGTCAGTAACATTAACTCACAATCTCCCAATTTTTTCATTTAATCCATAATCGCATACAAAAGCAAATAACAAATACCATATACTCATGTCATCATTGCCTCAATCTCTTTGGCTTTAGGCCACACACTTCCCAGTCTGATTTGTGATCTAGATCTCAGGATGCAGTCTGAAGAACATCTGGAAACCTTTATCTCATGACAGGTGAAGCTGCAATGCATCTCACAACAGTGACCACCTCACAGAAAAGGGTCTGCACTAAGTTAGTGACAAGCAGTAACCATAGTTATGATTCATATGTTTCCATCTTTTGATGGAAAGTAAACCTTCAGGATGGACCCAAATGCAGAGGGGCGGAGAGCACAGCAACGATAAGGAATGCATTTCAGCATGGCCACAAAATGCAAAACCTCATGGTAGGTGTCAGTGCGGGAAAGGAACAAGGCTGCAAAGCCGTCACCACAGTGGGAAGGTGTGCTGGCTTTGGCTGGGACCGAGGGAATGCCAAAATCAAACCTGGGATGCTGGGAAAGAGCTATCACGGAATTGTGGGAAGCATCAACATCGATGCAACTGATGGGAGGGGAGAATCCAGAGACAGTGCAGCTGTGGCCTTGGAGGATGCAAAACATACTCCTGGTTATTTTGTGAAAAATCGACTCTGCATTACGAGCATGAGTCTGCGCCCAGGAACCTGCCTGGAGATGGACACACTCGGCACTCAAGACACACGAGGCTTTCTTTTTTTCCCCCCCTCCTCTTTAAAACAATT